GAGGACTGCAGCACACCAGACTAGTTATTAAAACCAGCTCCTGCAAGCTGGCACTCACTCAAAATTGCCTGCAAGGAGTATATAAAGCACTTGAGTCAAAAACATGGTATTGAAATTCACCTTCTAATTTAGAGTAAGAGTAGGAATAGAGTCTGGCACTTCACGCTCTGCAAGCCTAAGTGTTTACCTGTCTTTGTTGTTGTTAGGAGTAAGTAGAAAAACAAGAACAGATTCTGATATTGTATCCAACTTGTAAACATATCAGCCAGGACCCTGACATGCAAAAATCTGTCCAGACTTGGGTAACTTTTGGTGACCAGGATTTGCAACACTCCTGTCCAGCTGCAGAGTTTCTATCCCATACTCTGTGCTCCTGTCCCATCAAATCTTGCAGTGGCTCTCACTGCTGCATGGTAGCCAGTGTTTCCTGCAGGTTCCAGTGTTTCCTGCAGGTTCCAGTGTTTCCTGCAGGTTCCAGTGTTTCCTGCAGGTTCCAGTGTTTCCTGCAGGTTCCAGTGTTTTCTGTAGGTTCCAGTGTTTCCTGCAGGTTCCAGTGTTTCCTGCAGGTTCCAGTGTTTCCTGCAGGTTCCAGTGTTTCCTGCAGGTTCCAGTGTTTCCTGCAGGTTCCAGTGTTTCCTGCAGGTTCCAGTGTTTCCTGCAGGTTCCAGTGTTTTCTGCAGGTTCCAGTGTTTTCTGTAGGTTCCAGTGTTTTCTGTAGGTTCCAGTGTTTTCTGTAGGTTCCAGTGTTTTCTGTAGGTTCCAGTGTTTCCTGCAGGTTCCAGTGTTTCCTGCAGGTTCCAGTGTTTCCTGCAGGTGCCAGTGTTTCCTGCAGGTTCCAGTGTTTCCTGCAGGTTCCAGTGTTTCCTGCAGGTGCCAGTGTTTCCTGCAGGTTCCAGTGTTTCCTGCAGGTTCCAGTGTTTCCTGCAGGTGCCAGTGTTTCCTGCAGGTTCCAGTGTTTTCTGTAGGTGCCAGTGTTTTCTGTAGGTGCCAGTGTTTCCTGCAGGTTCCAGTGTGTGTTTCCTGCAGGTTCCAGTGTTTCCTGCAGGTTCCAGTGTTTCCTGCAGGTTCCAGTGTTTCCTGTAGCTTCCAGTGTTTCCTGCAGCTTCCAGTGTTTTCTGCAGCTTCCAGTGTTTCCTGCAGGTTCCAGTGTTTCCTGCAGGTTCCAGTGTTTCCTGCATGGTAGCCAGTGTTTTCTGTAGGTTCCAGTGTTTTCTGCAGGTTCCAGTGTTTTCTGCAGCTTCCAGTGTTTTCTGCAGCTTCCAGTGTTTTCTGCAGGTTCCAGTGTTTTCTGCAGGTTCCAGTGTTTTCTGCAGGTTCCAGTGTTTTCTGCAGGTTCCAGTGTTTTCTGCAGGTTCCAGTGTTTTCTGCAGGTTCCAGTGTTTTCTGCAGGTTCCAGTGTTTTCTGCAGGTTCCAGTGTTTTCTGCAGCTTCCAGTGTTTTCTGTAGGTTCCAGTGTTTCCTGTAGCTTCCAGTGTTTTCTGCAGGTTCCTTTCACCATCCTTGTCCCTTTAGGTCCAGCTTCTGTGCAGGGGTAAGGGTTCTGCTTTAGTCAGTCCCATTACTGCTGGGACTTACACAAATACTGGACTCTTCCAAGCTGTTAAGTGGGAGGTACTGGAGGGCAGTAAAACCCCAGCGCTGTTGAGTGCAAGGCTGGGAATGTTGGTTTTACCATCTGGCAGCATGTAGTAGAATTCTCTCTCCATGGCTTCCTTGCCAAAGTTCTGAGGTATTTATAAATCTAAGTTTGGGAGCTGTTGGACATGTTTTGCATGTGGCTTTTTTTTTCTGAATGGAGAAAGAAGTGGTTATATATAACTACCCTCAAATCCTTAGATGCCAAGTTAAAAATATTTGGTGGATATGGATGGACTGTAGTTTCCTGTGATGAATAAAGTGAGAAAAGCTGTGAAATCCAAGTTCAGTAACTGTACATGAAATCATTTAAATTGTAGAAATGCAACACCAAGCCCAAGTGGCCAAGGGGAGATTGTATGTGAGCACTCTTAGGAGTTTGATTAGGATTACCTGAGAAATCTAAATAGCTAGAAAGGTTTGGCCTTCTCTGAGGCTTGTATTTCCTTTAAGAGAAGCAAAACCTGTCACATTTTGACTTAACTGCATCTCTTAGACCACTGCACTCCAAAAATTAAAAACATTCCCTATAGAATCATGGAGTTTAAGGAACATGTAAAAGTGTTCAGACTCTACTGGTTGCTTCTCCCAAATAACTGTGGAGGTACCAAGTGCTCTTGTTCACCCAAGTCAGTAACATGAATGGTAGCCCTGCTTTTTCCTCAAGTGTTCCTGGTGTCAGTGGCTTCTTTTCTCTTCTCTTATTAGAAGAAATCCCGTAAGAAGATCTGTATCCTGATTCTTGGCCTTGCTGTGGTCTGTATAATCATAGGACTCCTTATCTGGAAGACAACATGAAATCTTCCCATGGGACCCAGTCTCACAGCTGAGATTTTTTCTGTCAGAGCAAACAGGCTGCCTAGTCTCGGAGATGAATTGACCACCCTGAGAGAGCACAAGCTGGAACTACTTCTAATAATAGATATTAGCAACTAATGTGCAGATAACTAGTATATGGAATTAGTGAACCATGGAGACAGTATTTATCAGTTTATATACAAATTATATTGTTTTATGTAACTAAAATCTCGTGGTTTTGCTTTCTGTAATGTGTTCTTCCCTGTCCCAGCTGTATGCTGAAGTGTGATCAATAATTGGAGATGTCTTGTTTTTGACAAGTCGCACAACTTCAACTTTTTGTATGTGTAGGTAGTTTTGTTGGACTGGAATGAGAATGGCATTCAAAGACAGCCCACCACCAAGTCACATTATGTAAATCCAGCAGTTTCTAAAGTCTCCAGTATCTGCCCCATGGTTTTATTGTCTCCAAGTGGCTGTGGTTCTAGATTCTCGTGGAGAAAAGGATGTTGTCACAGATTTGAGAGGCAAGAGGGTATGTGTGGGTGATGATTTGAACCTCTACATGCTGGTCAGTTTAGCCTTGAGACTCATAACAGTGTAGTTTAATTTTTTTGGGTGTGGTTGGGGTTGTTTTTTCACAAAATGCATCACTTGAGGACAGAATGTTCTTTGACTTAGAATCTAACAGTGCAATCTCCTTAGACAAACTAGCTGGTGGCTTGCTAGTGGACAAATAAATCTCTTCCAATGCTGACTCAAGCACTAAATATAAAAGGTTTAGCTGCTCACTCCCAACTTTTCAGAAGCTTCCAGGGGGAAAAACACTTAAATATGAGGAAATGGGCACCTAAGTTTACAAGCTAGTAAGATTAGTGAAGAGTGTTAGAAATCTTGATTCTGAAGAAGTGCTCTTGCAGCTCACTTGTGGTGTTCTAGTAAATATTATGTGTGGCTTGTGAACATTTGGTATTTTCAATTCTTTATGAAATAGAAAGTGCAGAAACTGGCTGAGTGAAGTGCTGGGATTTTCAGACTGGGGATGTGTGTGCAAATGAAAAGGAGTGCTGGTTCCAGCTCATACAGTTGGGCAGCACAAGCAGGCACTCCCCACTTCAGTGCAGCTCTGAACTGACATGAACTGAGGGAACAGTAATCTGTCCAAAGCCCAGTGGGGGTGGTAAATGCAGCATACTGACCCATTTTGTATTTAACCCTTCTTCCATGTCTCGTCTATAATAAAGTAAACGTGAAAGCTGGGAAGGGAGCGTTCTCCCAATTGCACAGTGGTTTGCACTATTGCCGCCATTCCATCGAATAATCATCAATAAACACTTTTAAAAGCCTCTGTCAGAGTTCATTTCTCTTGCAGTTTAGCCATTGGCAAAGGTGTGTTTGCAGTTCCCCCTCTTGTAGCCATGATATTTTATGACAAATCCTTTTGCTAGGATTTTTCTCCTGAGAAGCTGAGAGGCCTCAGAAACAAAATGTAAATAATAATAATTATCTGTTGCTGTGGAATGCAACAGGTGCATCTGTGATTGGTCTCATGTGGTTGTTTCTAATTAATTGCCAGTCACAGTCCAGCAGGCTCGGACTCTCTGGTCAGTCACAAGATTTTATTATCATTCCTTCCTTTCCTTGCTAACCTTCTGATGAAATCCTTTCTTCTATTCTTTTAGTCTAGTTTTAATATATCATTTAATATAATATATATCATAAAATAATAAATCAGCCTTCTGAAACATGGAGTCAAGATTCTCATCTCTTCCCACGTCAGGGCTGCCTGCAAATTCCCACACCCTCTAAGTGGAGTAGAGGACTTTACATCAGCACAGTAGTGTTTAGTTCTGTGCTCCCTGATTTTTCAGAATGGAACTCCCTGAAAACACAAAATTCATTTCAGAAGGACATACACAACAGTTCTGTGCAGAGTCCTGTACAATAGCTGATCCTAGAAAAATGACTCTCCTACCTCAGAGCAGCATTGGCTCAGCTCTAACTGTTTGCCTTTTGCTAGAACTTGGAGCCTGTACGATAAAAATCTGACTTGAAACCAAGGGGCTCTGCTCGGACAGAGGCGCTGTCCCCGCGGTACTCGGTATCGGGCGCTGTCCCCGCGCCCCAGGGTTGGTTCCGGGGCTGTTCCTGCGTCCCAGGGTCGGTACCGGGGCTGTCCCTGCGTTCCAGACGCAGTACCGGCTCTGTCCTCGCGTCCCAGGGTCGGTACCGGGGCTGTCCCCGCCTTCTAGGGTCAGTACCCGGTCTGTCCCCGCGTCCCAGGGTCGGTACCGGGGCTGTCCCCGCGTCCCAGGGTCGGTACCGGCGCTGTCCCCGCGTCCCAGGGTCGGTACCGGGGCTGTCCCCGCGCTCCAGGGTCGGTACCGGCGCTGCCGCAGCTCCCGCGCCGGTCCGGTGCCGTGAGGGGGTTGGCCCCGCCCCCGAGGGGCGTGGTACGTTTACGCCCCGCCCAGACTCCGCCCCTCCGGCGGCGCGCGGGGCAGGCCGGGATCGGCGCGCGTCGCTCCGCGCTCCCATGGTGCCCCGCGGCGGCTGAATGGGGCAGAGCCAAGATGGCGGCGAGCGCGGCCCCGGCGGGCGGCGGGTCCCTGTTCGAGTGCCCGAGCTGGTGAGCGGCCGCGCGGCCCGGGGGCGGGAGGGGCGCGGGGCTGCGCTCCCCGGGCCCGCACAGCGCTGCCCGGCCCGGCGGGCTCCGGGCGCGGCCCGAGGGTGCCGCCATCGACAGCGCCGCGGGGGGCCCGGGGCCTCCCTGGGGTGCTGAGCTTTTCCTCAGAGCTCAGACAGAATCCGTGCTGTGGTAGGAATTAAATATCCTGCTCAGGGCGTGTGACCGGTACGGGAAATCTGTCAGCTTGAAATAGGCTGGGGTTTTTATTAGCCTGAGTTCAGAAGTCAGGGCTGAGTGCTGCAGAAACAGCATCGCGACCATCCCTGGGCTGGGTTAGAGGTGGCAGAGCCTGCGGTGGAAGGGAGCCCTGAAAATGCCGGGAGCAGAGCCTGGCATCGGGGTGCCCTTGTTCGTTTGTTCTGTGTTTGGATCATCGCTGAAGAGATCTTGGCTCTCCTGCCTTCTTTGGGTGCGGGAGCACTGGGATGGGTACAGGAGCACTGGGATGGATACCAGGATGGGATGGGATGGGTACAGCAGCACTGGGATGGGTACAGGAGCACTGGGATGGATACCAGGATGGGATGGGATGGGTACAGCAGCACTGGGATGGGTACCAGGATAGGTATAGGGGCACTGGGATGGGATGGGTACCAGGATGGATACCAGATCACTGGGATGGGTACCAGGATAGGTACAGGAGCACTGGAATGGGCACTGGGATGGGTACCTGGGCACTGGGATGGGTACCAGGATGGGTACCAGAGCACTGGGATGGGATCGGTACCAGGATAGGTACAGGAGCACTGGAATGGGCACTGGGATGGGTACCTGGGCACTGGGATGGGTACCAGGATGGGTACCAGAGCACTGGGATGGGTACCAGGATGGATACAGGGGCACTGGGATGGGATGGGTACCAGAGCACTGGGATGGGTACCAGGATAGGTACAGGAGCACTGGGATGGGCACTGGGATGGGATGGGTACCAGGATAGGTACAGGAGCACTGGAATGGGCACTGGGATGGGTACCTGGGCACTGGGATGGGTACCAGGATGGGTACCAGAGCACTGGGATGAGCACTGTGGTATTTTAAATCACACAAGCACCTGAGAGCTGGAGCTGTGTGGCCCAGCCCAGGCTGTCCCTGCTCACCCAGCTGTGTTGTAGACACTTTGTGACAGTGCTCATGTGTTGTAATTTAGAGCTGGTTTTTAAGTGCCTGCTGTAGTTGGTAAAGCCATTTCACCTTCTCATGGAAGAGAATTCCTCGTGTATTTTAGGGTCTTATTTGTGCTGAACATACACAATAATAAACATCTACATGAGACAGGATGGTGTTCCATGAGGTGATGACACAATAAACCAGATAAAGCCAAAGATTATTCTGGATATTCAACTTGAAATTTGAAGTACCATCCGTTTTTTTCCCCTTAGTGTTTTTGTACAACAGTGACCACAATATGCTTTATATTCCATGTAAATTGGAATGACTTGCACCTTTGAAAGCTGTAGATGGAGGAGCTGGGGAAACACAGCTTGTAAAATGCCCAGTCTCAGTGGCTTGCATGGTATTGCAGAATTCCAAAAGAAATCCCATCTGGAGGAGAGAACTGTAACACCTCTAACTGTGAGGGCCTCTTCAGGTACCTGGTTTGTGCCTTAGCAGGGTCTGACAGAGAGAGTTTCCCTGTGTCCCTGCCCTGGTTTGGTTCTGTTGTGCTGGATGAGAAGTGAGGTGGGATCTGGGAGATGATCCAGTCCCAGGGGCCAGGGGGTCATGTTTGGGTACCAGGTCCTGTTCTCTTCTCACATTTTAAAGATTTTTTGTAATTCACTTATTGCAAGCTGAATGTCCTTTTACAATCATATTCCAAAATAGTTCTTGCTTACAGCAAAGTTCCTGTCTGGACTCTTTCCTTGTACATTGTAAGGAAACTTTTTATTTTCTCTTGGACTCTGTTGTATGTTTGCACATTGTAATGGTTGTAGGGACCATTTTTTGTGTGTTTGTAGCTGTGAAGTAAAGGAGTGCCTGAGACAATTTGATTTTTTCCAATTGACACATGCAGACTTGGCAGCTAAAACCAGTGAAAGCTTTGTGTTTTTCCTTAATGCTGCTTTTGAAACCCAAAAAAAGGAAAAATAAAAAAGTGAGCCAGCAGGAAGGCAGCCTGGAGAGCTTCCAGTCACAGTGTTTGTGTTCTGAGCAGTGAACCCAAAATGGGAAGTGTTGGCTGATGCTGGCTGCTGATAACCATGCTGGAAGTGAGGAGCTCTCCTGCCAGGTGCATTTATTTATTCCTGGTTGTTTTTCTGTAGAGTATTTCATGCTAAAGCTCTGGATGCCTTCTGCTGACATCTGCTGACCTTCCAGCTCATGGTTTGAAAGTATTTGTTCCTTTCAGAGCCAGGCAAAGAGTGCCCAGATGTGATGTGGAACCAGTCTGGGCCTTTCCCAGGTAGGATTCTCCAGACTGGAGGTGGTTTGCAGGAGCAGGATTGGAGCCATAGTGCTGTTATTCAAAGTTCTGGTTTAAGAGGATGTAAAGATACCCTGCAGGAAGCCTGGTCTTACACAAGCCCCAAAAAGTCTGTGCAGGCAGCATGGGAGGCTTCATCCCAGAGCTTTGGGTGACCAAGAGCATGGAGTTGCAGAGTTTTCACAGTCAGAACCAGATTCTTCTGTAGTGAATTATCTTCAGTCTCCTCAACCTCTATTAAAATCAAAATCACAGTCTTTACCTATTTATGTTCCTGCTTCTGAGGAAAGCTGGCTGGGGCCTGTGGGCACCAATCACATGAGAAATACATCTTAGATATAATCAAAAGGAGTAGCCTTTTTCCTTGCCCATGCTTTTGAGGTTTGCCTCTATCATTTTACCTCTTCTTCCATAATTTGGATAGTATCTGAGTACCCCATTTCCAGAAAAGACTTCTGCACTGAAATTCCCAGTTTTCATCTGGTTTAAGTTGTGGCTCTGATTTAGTTTTTGTGCTGTTCTAGGTTGCCTCTTCATAATCCATACAATATTTATTCTTTCTTTCCTTGTATTTCCAGCAGCTAAACTTAAGACAGATGAAAACCAGTGGTTGCCACCTTGCTGATGCCAGAACATGTTTCTATATGTGCTGTAACTCCTCTGTACACGTCAGCCAAGATTTGGGCTGTGCATGTACAGCTGGCACAAAGAGGGTGCCAATACTTCCTGTAGTTAATATTTACCCATTCCATGAGATCAGAAAATGTCTTTAGATAACAATTAGACATCTTAGTTTGATTAAGACTTCTGCAAACCCTCTGAGCTGGCTTTAGGTGGTAAAAGTGGTTTCTCTGAGGTACAGGTTATGTGGTGTATGGTTTTGAAGGGATCAGATGTTTAGTGGATACTGCCTGCCTGTCCTTTTGTCCTAGTGTAACTTGTATTTGGAATTGTGACTCTTTCTTTATTCTCTTTGACACCTCAGTAGTGGGGATGTCAGGTTTGTCCTGGAATGGACATACATAAGAAATTGTTTGTTTGAAGACAGAAATTGTTTCTCTTCAGTTTCTTTGGCCAAGAACTGGCTATTCCTGGTGATGCTTTTACACAGATTTCTGGAGAATGTGAGCTCCAGAGTTCTGCACATTCCACCCTGTCCTTGAAGTTGGACATGAAGGTGTGTACATGAGTCACAGAGGCCAAGATTTTTAGGAAGTGGCTAAATTTAGGTTCTGAGTCACATTTAGGAACCCAAATAATTGACCTAATTTTAAACTAACACAATAGAATTATGGCTGTCCTGTCTATGTCCTTAATAGCAACAATTCCAAATTTCTTGTAGTGATTTACATCAGTCAGGCTGCTGAGTTTCAGCTGGATATAGACATTAGAACCCTGCTGGCCTGTCAGCATTGAATCTGCACTGTGGAAGAGATCCTGATTTGTAAAACCTCAGTTCTCTTACTTGGCACATTCCAAAGTGTAAATGGCCTTGTCCTTCTTTTCCAAAATGCTTTATCTTTGTTACAGAGACATGGCCTGGCCTTTGGAGCATGAGGTGGAGAAAGCAAAGAAACACAATTTTCTGTTTCTAGTGCAGAAGAAAGATTTCTTTGCTTGTAGGTATTTAAATCTTTTAAAAACCTGTGCTGGAACCTGGTTTGTTCAGTGGTGTCCCTTGTGAATATTTAACTGCTGATCATTGTAAGCAGTTGGTGCCTTCTGTAAGCCAACAAATCCATGTGTGGCAAATCCCAGGCTGGGAATGCTCCTGTTCTCCTTGCCAGTCAGCTCTGTTCATTCCCTGTCCATTCTCCTGAATCCTGGAGCTCCCTCCCAGGAGTTTCAGGATTCAGGAGGCACTCAGGGCATGCTGGGTCTCAGTCAAACTCACTCAGCTAGTGCCCACCACAGTCAGTGCATTTGCAGGTGTTATTTGCAGGTCACTTGCAGGATGCTGCCCTGGGGAGGCACTGGGGACTGTGATGCACCATCTGCAAGGTACAGAAGAAATTGCTTTTTTCTCATTTTCAAACACAAGCACTTGTGCTGGAGCCAAGTTGTGATAGCAGAGCGCTGGCCTTGGGCAGTGCTAAGGGCTCTTTGTGTTCTGCAGAGAGGACAATCTGCTGACCTCAAGTAATTCTTCATCCTTCAGAGCAGTGCAGGAAAATCAGTTTAGTGGATATTTTAGCACATGGTGGAATTTGTTTAATGGAAAAGGACTTTTTTAACATTGGACATAAAATGGGAAAAAACTGCTCTCCTGTCCCAGCATAAGTCCAGCTTTCTAACAAACTTTCTTCCAGGGCATTTGTGCAAGAGATTTCCTTTCATGTTCTACTCCTTGGTTTGTGAGATGTGAGATTTGATGGGGCAGAACCTGTGAAGGGTGACTGATACTTCCAAATCCAGGCATTACTTCTGATCTTTGGTGGCTCTGGAGCCAATTAGTTTTTAATGTAAAACTGAGCAATCTTTCTACTTCTTTTCATTAAAAGGCTTTTCAGGTATCTAACTTGGGCAGCCTGAACTGTGACATTGACTTAAAATGTTCCAAAGGAGTTTTCTATCAGAAATTACTTCTGTGAATTTGTTTTCATGGTATCATAATCAGTATTTACAACCTTCCTGTGTTCAGTGTTTGGCAGGAATAGGTAGATGGGGGAAATACTGCCTACAAAGGATTCTCTGCAGTCCAAAAGAAGCCAGAGAATAGGTAGATTTTTCTAGCACTTTAATTCACAGCTGAAGGCACTGCCTTGCAATACTGCTGAGCTTGGCTTATCTGTTGAAAATAAAGTTGAGGGTAGAGGCAAAGTAAAAATAAGAGCAAGGATGAAACTAAAAGTAGAGGGGGCAGTGAAAAAGCAGAGCTGGAATGTAGCAGAACATGAGCATCAGACAGGATTGAGCTGTGCTGGAGCTCCTGGGGCTCTCCTGTGACCTGAGTGCTTCAGGGAGGAAGTTGCTGAAATGTGTTAGGACAGGCTGACCACTGAGTATCCAGGAACAGATCAGGGAAAGGAAAAGCAGAGGCCAGACTGAGTAAGAAGTAGATTTGTAGAATGAATTTGTTGAAAGGTTTATCTATTTGGAAAGAAAAGGAAATTGGGGAAGTAGCTGTTGTTTGATCAGAGTAAGGCTGGTGTGTGAAAATTACCAAAAGTTGGGTTGCAGAGTAACCAGAACTTGGCAATTTCAGAGGAAGGGGGGAAAACAAGTGCTCAGAGCAGAAAGAGGGAGCACTGAGTGGACAGGAATCCATGAAAGGAGCCTGTGTGTGCTCCAGTGAAAGCTGAGCACTGAGATCTGCAGGGAGCACAGGAGCACACAGCAGTGCTCAGGGGGAGCCTGGCTGGAACTTGCTTGAGCAGTACCAGGGAGGAGCTTCCCTGGCAGTGCTGGGGGACTGCAGCTCATCACACAGGCTGTGTCCCACCTCTGGGAGCATTTCTGCTTGCTGGCCTGTCCCCCACATCACCACAATCCCATTTCACTGCTGAAGTCACCACTTGTGCTGAAGTTTAGCATCCTCTGCTTTGGCTGCTGCTGTTTGTTCATCCAAAACAATAGGAGTCACCATTAACCATGTCCTTGTTAGGGTGGTATATCCACAGCCTTTGAGAAGGGCCTGACAAGAAAACTTGTGAAAGTCCCAAGTGGTCAATTCAGAAAGGGCCAGAGAGATCTGGGCAGGCTGGTGTAATGGATTGGAAACAAGAAAGGAAAATGTCTAGGAGAGAAATGAAGTAGAAATTACAGGAGGCTGTGTTCTTACATGAAATTATTGAGGGGAGCTGACCTTGCAACACAGAAAAACCAATAAATGCAAGGCACACCTCAGAAATGTGAACATCTGTATTTAACCCCTTCAAACAACTTCAGCTACCAGTGACCTTTCTTTCTTCTCCAGCCACCCTGAGAGCATCCCTGCCATTGTCACTGTTCCCTGGGCTCCCTGCCCTGAGCAGAATGGGAACATGATCTCTGCAGAGTTCCTCAGCAGGGCAGCAGTGCAGCCAAGAACTGGGTCACTGCTGCTGCCTGGAAAGCTGCTCCAGCAGCAGAGATGTGACCTGTGAGGAGGTCCTAGAGATGCACATGCTGAGATATCTGAGCAGGAAAAGATCCTTTGGTGCCAAGAGCTGAGGGATCCTGTGTGCTGCAGGTGCCCCAGCAGCATCCTGGCTTTGAGCACTGTAGGTGCCCAATGTGTTCCTGCTGCCCCCATGAGTTCACCCCTTGCTGTGATCTGCTGAGTCCCTCAGGGCTCTGTGCTGCCCTGCCCAGGTGGGAATGCTGCTGCAGGCAGGTGGATCTGCTCCAGGAGCTGAGCAGGAGCAGGGGGGCTGCCCTTGCTGTGCACAGAGGGCAGGGGTCCCTCTAGGGCTGCAGCCTGTCCTGTGCTCACAGGTGAATGGAGGGGCTCTATTTATAATGCTGCATTTATAATGCTACAGGTGTGTGCAGAGCCCACAAATATATGCAAATATTTTGCCATCACTGTCCTAGAGGAGAAAGGTGGCACAAGTTTCTGTTCCTCTCAGCAGCCAGGGGTAGAGATTGCCATTTTGAGGGTGACATGAGGAAACAGAGCTCTTCAGCCTCTCTGGTTGTTGGTCTCACACTGTTTGCTCTCAGGATTTGCTCTGTTTATTGTGTAAATCAGATGGTTTTCACCTAAAGCTGGAGATACTTCATGTCCTGTTACCTACACTCTTACCATAAAGAATTCTTGGGTTATGTGTTGGCAGAAGGAATCTGCAGGGAGGAAAAGAAAGTTATGGGATTTTCATCTTTTCCCCAAAATACTTCTGCTTACATTTGTGCAGGTTTGGTCTGTAACTCAAGCAGCTCTAATAACATTTTTATTAAATGTTTTGATACTATATTTCTCCTTTCTTTATTTTCCAGGGCAGGGAAACCACCACCTGGCTTACATCTGGATGTAGTCAAAGGAGACAAACTCATTGAGGTATGGAATTAGGGTTTGATGGATTTGGTGTATCAGCAGCAGAACATTCCCCATCATTTTCCACACTTATTCATAAATATTTCCTTTCTCTCATGTATTCATTATCTTCAAATCAGTTTGGTTTTTTTCTCTAAAACAATGAATGAAGTGACTTTTCCCTTGCCTGTGCAAGGCAGCCTCATGCCATGCAGGGCTCCCATCAGTTAAACCTCTTCCCTTTGTGCTGCTTGTTTGACAAACCTGTCTGGTCAGTTTATTTCTTTATTTTGCATTACAGTCAGATTAAGCAGGCATCCTGTATTTTGCAAGAGTGCTGCTCTGTCCTACAGCATGAAATACAATTTGATTTGATTTTTCCTCCCACATTCAGGATCTGTGAGCAGTGTTGTGATCAGCACAGATACAGCAAGTTATTTTTATTACAGCACCACCTCATTCTGTGTTTCATATTTTATCTTGCATCACACTGAAAGTAATAAATAAAGAAAAGTCTCTTTCCCATTGTTGACAGAGAGAACCCAAACCAGTGAATGTATTTCAGTGTGGAGAGACTCCTAACTTGAAGCTGACTGAAACAGAAATGGGTCTGGGTGTAGTGGTTTGATACAAATGCCAGGCACCCACAGAAGTCATTCATTTATCCTGCTACAGTTGGACAGAGGAGAGGGGAAAAAATTAATGAAGGACTCATGAGTTGAGATAAGGATTGGGAGAAAAAACCACTCTAAAGGCAAAACAGATTCAAATTTAGAGGTATAAAGTAAATGTATTATTAACAGAGTCAGAGGAGGACACAAGAAGTAAAACAAGCCTTTAAAACACCTTTTTTTTCCCCCAGCTGTGAGGGTTTTGGTCAGTTCATCACTTGGGCTCTTCTCTTTGCTTAGGGAGAGGAGTCTTTTCTTTGCTGTGCCATGGGATCCCTCCCAGGGGCAAAAACTCTTCCCAAAACTGCTGTGCTGAGGGTCACTCATCCATGGGGTGCAGGCTTTTAAGGCTGGGCTGCTCTACTTTGGAAGCAAAGGCCTTCCCTGTCCATTTGGGTCTGCATGGATCACAGCTTTCCCTGGCATCACCTGCTCCAGTGTGAGCCCTTTCCCAGGGGCTGGGGGTGGATCCCCAGGGGCTGGGGGTGGATCTCTGCATCCCCATGGATCCCCAAGGGCTGTGGGTGGATCTCTGCATCCCCCATGGATCCCCATTCCCTGTGGGTGGATCTCTGCATCCCCCATGGATCCCCATTCCCTGTGGGTGGATCTCTGCCTCCCCTGTGGATCCCTACAGGCTGTGGGTGGATCTCTGCATCCCCATGGATCCCCAGGGGCTGGGGGTGGATCTCTGCATCCCCATGGATCCCTACAGGCTGTGGGTGGATCTCTGCATCCCCCATGGATCCCCAGGGGCTGTGGGTGGATCTCTGCATCCCCATGGATCCCCAGGGCTGTGGGTGGATCTCTGCATCCCCATGGATCCCCACAGGCTGTGGGTGGATCTCTGCATCCCCATGGATCCCTACAGGCTGTGGGTGGATCTCTGCATCCCCATGGATCCCCACAGGCTGTGGGTGGATCTCTGCATCCCCATGGATCCCTACAGGCTGTGGGTGGATCTCTGCATCCCCCATGGATCCCTACAGGCTGTGGGTGGATCTCTGCATCCCCATGGATCCCTACAGGCTGTGGGTGGATCTCTGCATCCCCCATGGATCCCTACAGGCTGTGGGTGGATCTCTGCATCCCCATGGATCCCTACAGGCTGTGGGTGGATCTCTGCATCCCCATGGATCCACAGGGCTGTGGGTGATCTCTGCATCCCCCATGGATCCCCAGGGGCTGTGGGTGGATCTCTGCATCCCCATGGATCCCTACAGGCTGTGGGTGGATCTCTGCCTCCCCCATGGATCCCCATGGCTGTGGGTGGATCTCTGCATCCCCCATGGATCCCTACAGGCTGTGGGTGGATCTCTGCATCCCCATGGATCCCCAGGGCTGTGGGTGGATCTCTGCATCCCCCATGGATCCCTACAGGCTGTGGGTGGATCTCTGCATCCCCCATGGATCCCTACAGGCTGTGGGTGGATCTCTGCATCCCCATGGATCCCCACAGGCTGTGGGTGGATCTCTGCATCCCCATGGATCCCTACAGGCTGTGGGTGGATCTCTGCATCCCCCATGGATCCCTACAGGCTGTGGGTGGATCTCTGCATCCCCATGGATCCCTACAGGCTGTGGGTGGATCTCTGCATCCCCATGGATCCCTACAGGCTGTGGGTGGATCTCTGCATCCCCATGGATCCCCATTCCCTGTGGGTGGATCTCTGCATCCCCCATGGATCCCCATTCCCTGTGGGTGGATCTCTGCATCCCCATGGATCCCCACAGGCTGTGGGTGGATCTCTGCATCCCCATGGATCCCTACAGGCTGTGGGTGGATCTCTGCATCCCTCATGGATCCCCAGGGGCTGTGGGTGGATCTCTGCATCCCCCATGGATTCATGGATTGCAGGCACAGCTGTTTCACCATGGTCTCACCACAGCCTGCAGAGGAATCTCAGCTCCAGCACCTGGAGCACCTCCTCCCCTCCTTCTCCACTGCCCTTGCTGTTTCCACGTTGTTTCCCTCACATCTTTTCCTCAGCTCCTTCTCTTTTCTGTCTAAAAGGAAAAACTGCTGCTGGTAGGTACCACTGCCACTAATTGAAATATTCTTGCAAGATCCTGTAGCCAAACAGCACTTGGATGTGATCCTTGTGTTTCCCTGTTCAATACAGGTGGCAGAGAGTTTTTCACTTTTGTCTTTTCTGGTGGGCAGCAGTAACCAAGGAGGAGCATTGTTAATCCTGGGCGTTGTTGAGCACTTGATACTCACCGAGCCATCAGTGTCCCAGCCTCTGCAGAGGCCTGAGGGCACCCTGTGATTGCTGGGTCTGCAAAGTGCAACAGCAAAACGAGCCATGCAGTGTTTAAGCTCAGTGTGTGAAGAAAGACACTGGGTTATAGCTCAGAGGCACAGAACATTTTAGAAACGTTGTCTTGAATTAAAGGCAGTACAGTTGTCTTCTCTGTTGATGATTTGTTGCAGTAACTTCCAGGAATTTGTGTCTTTGCAAAATCTCTTGTTGGTGTTCCCCAGTCAGGGCAGTATTGTTTGTGTGTAACAGGTGCAAATGAAAACTTACAGGATCCTTTGGTTACAGTTGTGGGCAAGAATGAGAAATGGTTTGATCAGTTTTTATGGTAATTGAAATTGTGAGGTAACTGCTTGCAGAGCTGATCAGTGTTTGTGGAGCAGACTTGAGTTTATGTATTTTAACAGTGCCAGACTAAACTGAAATATTGATGAGCTGTTGATGCTTTGTCTTGAATTTGCTCTGTTTATTCATATTCTTGAATTTTTTTCAGGAAGTTCCAAAAGATTCTAGGAATCTAATATGCTTCTCTGTTTGATATTCTACCTCAGAAACTCATCATTGATGAGAAGAAATACTATCTCTTTGGGAGAAATCCTGATCTGTGTGATTTTACCATTGACCACCAGTCTTGCTCTCGGGTCCATGCTGCCTTGGTCTATCACAAACATCTCAAGAGGGTTTTCCTCATAGATCTGAACAGCAGTAAGTAGTGTGGCATTTAACCAGACAGAAGAGCTGTACTTCAGTGCTTAAACATTCTGAATCTGAGACACTTTTTCCCTTTCCATTGTTGTCTGCACTGAGGGCAAATGGATATAATTTGAATTTGCATCGTAGGGAAAGACAAGGGTTAGGGCAAAGGAGTGTTTGCTCCAGTCAGCCTACAGCTGCCTCAGTGGGTGTTTCAAACATTTCTAACTTGTAAGAGGCCAAAGGAGATGAGGAAAGTCACAATTTTACACAAATCACAATTTTAGTGAATCCTTGTCTTCTGAGGGTGATTTCCCAAGGTCTAAAACCTGTCAGGTGCTTTTTTGCACTGTCCAGACAGTTCATTGGGACCTGCAGGAATACAGAAAGTAAAAGGTGTTTGTAGTTTATTTCCAGTGATTTTCTGAGGACTTCTGGTGTGTGTTACAGCAGTTTGTGAGATGGTGATCTGCATAGCTGATGCTTTCAGCAGTACCTCAGTGCCTTGTACCTTGGAACAATGTCTGAGATTCTCAGACTTGAACTGGAACACCATGATCCCAAGCTGAACAGCCTGTTTTGCATTTTGATGTCCTCAGCACATGGCACATTCTTGGGCCACATCCGTTTGGAAGCTCACAAGCCCCAGCAGATCCCCATCGACTCCACGGTTTCCTTCGGCGCCTCCACGCGCGCCTACACCCTGCGGGAGAAGCCCCAGACGCTGCCCTCGGCAGTGAAGGGGGATGAGAAGATGGGTGGTGAGGATGAGGAGCTCAAGGGTCTGCTGGGGCTGCCCGAGGAGGAGACAGAGCTGGATGTGAGTATAAGTCACCGTGATGTTTTCTGAAAAATCCCTTTGCTGGGATTTCTTCACTTGGGAAGCTTCAGCTTCTCCCTGTTTTGCTGCTTTGGAATGAGATTTGGAGATTGTTTATCCTGCATGTGAATGGGTTTAATTTAATGGCTAATCATGGCCCAGCTGTGTTGAGGCTCTGACAAGTCATGAGTTTTTATTATTCATTCTTGTCAAGCCTTCTGATGTATCTTTTTCTTAAGTATAGTTTCAGTATAGCATAATATAATATAATATAATATAATATAATATAATATAATATAATATAATATAATATAATATAATATAATATAATATAATATAATATAATGATATAGTATGATATAGTATATATCATATATACTATATCATATATATCATAGCATATACTATATCATATATATATGATATATATATGATATAGTATATAGTATAGTATAATATGATATAGTATATATAATATGATATAGTATGATATGATATAGTATGATATAATATAGTAATATAATATAATATAATATAATATAATATAATATAATATAATATAATGATATAGTATGATATAGTATATATCATATATACTATATCATATATAGTATATATGATATACTATATCATATATATATCATAGCATATACTATATCATATATATATGATATATATATGATATAGTATATAGTATAGTATAATATGATATAGTATATATAATATGATATAGTATGATATGATATAGTATGATATGATATAGTATGATATAATATAGTATAATAATATAATATGATATGATATGATATGATATGATATAATATAATATAATATAATATAATATAATATAATATAATATAATATAATATAATATAATATAATATAATATAATAATAAATCAGCCTTCTGAGAACTTGGAGTCAGATTTTCACCTCTCACCTCGTCCTGGGGACCCTCACAAACAGCACAAGTATGATGGCACACTGCCTTGATGGCATTTCCAGCAAGGACAGCATTCCCTGCTTGTTTGCTTAGTCATGGGATCATTTAGGTTGGAAAAGACTTTTAAGATCATCAGGTCCATAAATCTAACACTGAAGTTGAAACTAAACAATGTCCTCTGGTCTTGTGGTATGCACAGTCATGTGATTGAAGTCAGACTTCATTTGTTTGTAAATTTTCTGCAGAATCTGACAGAATTTAATACAGCCCACAACAAAAGGATCTCCACACTGACCATTGAGGAGGGGAACTTGGACATCCAGAGGCCAAAGCGAAAGCGGAAGAACTCCAGAGTGACGTTCAGTGATGATGATGAGATCATCAATCCAGGTAAGGAGCTTGCTATTGTTAGGCTTGAGGTGAAGTCTCTTAGGTCCTATGAGGTGTCTTTTTACTAAATTGAGGAGAGAAACTTCTGGGCTTTTTTCCTTTTTAAGGAGACAAAGAATAATTTGGTCACTCCATCAACAGGGAGCACATTCCTACATTACCCCACAGAGGTTGTTTTTCCCATGTGCTCACTGAAGGCATCACTGGTTGTGCTCATTAAGGCATTTCTGGTTGTGCTCACAGGTTGTGCTCATTAAGGCATTTCTGGTTGTGCTCACTGGTTGTGCTCACTGAAGGCATCACTGGTTGTGCTCACAGGTTGTGCTCACACTCATCCCTGTTTTTCTTTGCAGAGGACGTGGACCCATCTGTGGGGAGGTTCAGGAACATGGTACAGACAGCAGTGGTCCCTGTTAAGGTATGGGGTGATTCCTGACTTTCTCATTAGCACATTACATTGATGAACTCACTTTATGATTTATGAATTGCATCTTAGAAACAAGAGTGCTCCCACATGGGAGGTGTTTCATTGCTAGGCAGAAGTGATGTCTGTGTTTCACAGTTGTCTTTTTTAGCAAATTTGAGCATTTCCCTTTGAACCCAGCTTTGGCTTTTTTCTTTAATAACACATGGGATCAATGGTGATATTTTTTTTTCCTCCCATGAAGAAACATTTTCTAGAAATCTAGTGCATTAGTCAGATAAAACTGTGGGAAATGTGGAAAATAGAAGGGAAAAATGAGAGTTTGTTTATTTAAATACTTTGTCTGATGTTTCATACATTTGTGTACTAGAACAAGCAGGTTTAGGCTTTGCTCCAAGGTGAGAGTGTTGCCAGTGTTCTATTTAATTGGAGTATGCAAGGAAAAAGAAAGATCTGCAGAGCTTCAGAGCAGCTAAGCCACTGTGTAACAGCAATTTCACTTGCTGCTCTTATAGACTAAATAACATCATGTAGAGAAGGAAAATGTTCCATAAACCCAGACTGCAGGACAAGATTCCAATGATCAGGAGCAAAATTACCCAAGTGATCTAAAAGTTGCAGTTTCTTTCTGTAGGGGAGGGAATGTTTGTGTTACAGTGCTCTCAGGCACAGGGTGGGACTTGGGGTGTCATGTGCAGGGCCAGGAGCTGGACTCAGAGAGCCTTGTGGGTCTGGTCCAACCCAGGACAATCTGTGACCCACTTGGTCTTTGTTCAGGATGAGCTCAAGATTGGCAGGAGTGTAAAGGAGGTGAAGAGGTGCTCACACTTCATCTAAGTTACACCTGAGTGTCAGCTTTTGTCTCCCTTCCTGCACTGTGCACCTTTAAGAGTTTATTGTTGTGATTTTCAAGGGATCCCAGAGGAAACCTTGTAGGACAAAGACTGGGACATGGTCTGTGGGCACTTTGTATGTGGCAGATTTAGGTGCCTCTTGGGGAAAACTATTGGAATATTACCAATAGAGCCAGACTGGATGTGTCTGAGCTTGTCTGGCCTTGCTGCTGAACCAAACAGCAGCACTGTGGTGTTTCACCCCACAGACACTTTTGCCTGCCTGGGTGTGTGGTGTTTCACCCCACAGACACTTTTGCCTGGCTGGGTGTGTGGTGTTTCACCCCACAGACACTTTTGCCTGCCTGGGTGCTGCAGCTGGCACTGCAGACAAGTCCAGGCCTGCAGGAGCTCTGGTGGTGCTGGGATGGAGCTTCCCCCCATAACAGGGGCTGCTCCTGGGGTTTCCCTCTGGCAGAGAAGCTTTAAGGGGATGGTGAAGGAAAGGAGTCGGTTCTGAGGGAGGGTTTGGATCCTGAGCTTTATTCTGGCCCTCAGGCCTCTGAATGCAGCACCAGCTCCAACAGAACTCCCTGAGCCCGGGGCTGCTGCTCCTTTAACCCCGGGGAGAGGGGCAGGGAAGGGGCAGGGAGGCACCAAGCAGGGACAGGAGGGGAGGGACAAAGGGACAAAGGACACCTGGATGGCCCAGGGCCCCCCAGGGGTAGAGGGCATCCTTTGGATCTGCCAATCACTCGAGGCCCTTCTGGAATGCCAGGAGTGCCAGACAGTGCTGGGAGGGGAAAGGAGAGGGGACTGACACACCTGGGAGGGAATTATCAGGGCAGGGACCCGGGGTTCTGAGGTAAACCCTGGAATCCCAGCACACCAGAGAACGGTCTTGGCACCCAGTGGAGGCAGGTTGTTGGTTCCATGCACTGTGAGTAACTCCCTGACTCCTCCTGCCCGCAGAAGAAGCGCCTGGAGAACGCGGCCGCGCTGCCCACGGACGAGTCGGCGTCGCGGCGCATGCAGAGCTTCCCCTACAGCGGGGGCCTCTATGGGGGGCTGCCCCCCACCCACAGCGAGGCCGGCTCGCAGCCCCACAGCGTCCACGGCACCGCGCTCATCGGGGGGCTGCCCATGCCCTACCCCAACCTCGCCCCCGATGTGGACTTGACTCCAGTCGTGCCCTCCACAGTGAACATGAACCCAGCTCCAAACCCCGCTGTCTTCAACCCCGAAGCTGTGAATGAACCCAAGAAGAAGAAATACGCCAAGGAGGCCTGGCCGGGCAAGAAGCCGACCCCGTCCCTGCTGATCTGAGCTGGGCTGAGGGAGGGTAGGAGTCACAACTCCAGAAACTTTTCATGTCTGGTATCGTCTTTTTAAAATTTCAGTGTCCTAACACATGTAATACCAAGATTGGAGGAGTGAAATATCCTTTAAAGATCTGTCTTCAAATGTTTTTATATGTCTGTTATAAAAAAAAAAGAAAATACAGCTCCCGTCTCCTTTTGAACCAAAACCCCTACAAGCCTTTTCTTAGCCACACAGTCCCAGAGCTCTTTGTGCTGAGTTTGGATCCACAAGTCCAAGGGGCAGTCACACAATTTCATTATCACTTATGGCATGACCCTGCAGGTCCATGTATTTCAGTGCTGGGCTCGCTGTGCTGACACTGCTCCTGCTGGACATTCTCACAGCAGGGCAGCTTGGTCAAGAGGAAATGTTTGTGGGGCCAAGCCTTGCAAAATCCCATTGGAAGGAGTTGTAAAACTTGCAGAATGTAGGTCAGTTTTTATTTTTTATATTTTCAAAACCCCACCAATGTGGGGCATTATTGTCTTTTTTATTATTATTATTTTTAGTTTGGCTACAGCTTGTTTTGATTTCCACATAAAACACTAGATCATCCCATGAGCCATGAGTTGAGATGGATCAGCAGGGAAGCAGCTGGGTTCCTTAGCTTTGTTCCAGTGCTGCAGAATGGGGGCTGTGGGATGGATACAGGGAATCCAACAGGATCAGGCACTGTCTGCACTGTGCCATGGTGACTCCCCTGGATAACTCAGGGTGAGGTTAACACAGTGGAGTTTTTTTAGACTTGGTGGCCCCTGTAACTTAAATAGTTTCATTTTAATTTGCAAATGGAACTTTTAAGTTTAGAGTATATGAGATTCATCAAGACAAGAAGCTGGGAGGACTGGCATGTTCCCCACACACTAATATTTTAGCTGCTGGGAACTGCAGGTGAGAATTGAGTGCTGCTGAGAGCCAGAATAGGAATTCTCAGTGGACTTGGGTTGTTGCTCAAGCCCTTTAGTTCCTTGGGTTTATATTTGAAAATGATTCACATACTCATACATCTTGTGGCTGTACTTTATGCAAGGTAAGGCCAGAGCTTTATTATTCTTACATTTATTCTGGATTTTTGTACACACTCTAATGCAGTTCAGCTACAAGTCACATTCCTGTGCTGTTTGTTTGGGGGATCCAGGAAATGTGCACTGAAATGAGAGCATGTACCTGGCTGTTCACTGTGTGCAGGACTGCAGCTGTCTGGGGAGGTGGTGCCAGGTTGTTGGGACAGGGCTGTGCTCCAGGGAGCTGGGATGGTGCTGGATCAGTGCTGTGCTCCAGGGAAATGGGATGGTGATGGATCAGGGAGATGGGATGGTGCTGGATCAGTGCTGTGCTCCAGGGAGATGGGGTTGTGCTGGATCAGTGCTGTGCTCCAGGGAAATGGGATGGTGCTGGATCAGGGAAATGGGATGGTGCTGGATCAGTGCTGTGCTCCAGGGAGATGGGATGGTGATGGATCAGTGCTGTGCTCCAGGGAAATGGGATGGTCCTGGATCAGTGCTGTGTTCCAGGGAAATGGGATGGTGCTGGATCAGTGCTGTGCTCCAGGGAAATGGGATGGTGCTGGATCAGGGAGATGGGATGCTGGATGCACCAGACCCATTTCAGACAGATGCCCCAAAATCTGTGAGTTCTGCTCTGCAGTGATTGCTTCTATCTTGTGAGCAGCTGCCCAGCTCACAAGAGCCATGGCTTTAGAGACTGCTCTGTTCCCTCCCACACCATCACATCCAGCTCAGACTGTTCCCTGTGTGCATTCAGCACCTGCTCCATGATCCAGCTGTGCTGCTCTGTGTTTAAGTTGCCATTGATGGTTCAGCTGTTGGGCATTTGTTCTGCTTCCCAGTGCTCCCACAATAACTCAGAATCTTCCTCTTTAGTCTAAGATTTTCATTTCCCAGCCAGTTGCTTTCTGAAGGCAACTCTTTAGAGTAAGACTAGTCAGGACAAACAAAAGTTGAGCAGGTTTCCTTCTTTTTCTTTTTTTTTTTTTTTTTTTGTTTTATTTTGGGGGGAAGAGGGGTGGGTTGGGGGGTTTTGGGGATTTTTTTTGCAAGTGGCTCTTTGCAAGATTTTTCTTGACAAGGGAAACTTCACTGCTCGTTTTTTAAAGCTCTTCTCCTCTCAGACTCTGAACCAGCTCTTATTATTTCAGAGCTTAGGGGCCACAGCTGGCCACGAGGGGACAGGAACATCGAGGGGCTTTGTACAGACATTTGTACACTTGTGTAATATGTAATAGGCCTTTTCACACTTCTGTTGAGCTTTTTACCTGTAACCTTTACTATGTTGTAAATTAAATGCAGATTTTGCCAGGTTGGAGAGTGTAGTGTGTTCGTTCCAGTGTGCACTGGTACAGCTGAGCCTGCCTGTGGTGCTGTGGCTCAGGGGAGGATCCTGCCATGGCAAAGTGCCCTTTTCCCTGCAGGCCTTGGCCTTGGCCTGCCTCAGGCTGCAGCTCCTAAAGCTGCCCCAGCTGCTTTGCTTGTGACCTGCTCTGCTCCTCGTGCTGCACTTTGGTACACAAGTGACACTTGGCAGTGGATTTTGAACAGTGGCTGCTGTTGTTGTCCAAGTCGAGTTTTATCTGGTTCTGGCATAATCCTCTCTGTAAGTTGTACTCCAGAGCCCAGCTCTGCTCTCCCATTGCTCAGCCTGCTCCTCTGACAGGCTGAGGCACCATCCCCTGTCAGTGATCTGCAGCCTGCCCTGGGCTGTCACCCCAGCCCACCTCGCTGTGCTTACCAGCCACAGGTGCTGTGGAACAGAGCCACCACAGCAGGACTTCCTCAGTCACCAGCTGTGCAGACTTGCAAAAGTGTGTGCCAAAATAAGGAATGCTGGCAGCAACCTCTGGAACACGTGGCAGCTCCCTGCTCTCAGCCCTTGCCAGTTCATGTCCACAGGGAGGCCTGGTCTTCATCTGATTTGTGAGGCTGCCCCAGCAGTCCTAGCAGAGGGAGCCACTCCTTGCTGCAGTCACTTTGGCACAATAGGGCTCTCAAAAACATTGCTCTTCACACATCTCTAGAAAATTTCAAATCAGCATCACAGGGCTTTTAGTAAACATTGACAATTTTGTCCTGTGTTCCAGGCAAGTTCTCAAAGCCAAAATCACCAATTCCCATGCAGTGTCATGTGATCTCGTGCCCTCCTTTTCTCTTGCTCTTGGCCATCACAGCAGTTGCTGAGGATGGAGAAATCCTAAGAACATGCAGAAAACCAAAAGCCAAACACTGCTGGCAGCAGAGGCAGAGCTGTTGGTTTTCACACACTCCTCATACTTTGTAAAATCGATTTCCCTGATGGCACACAGGTGATCCACACGGCATTGCTGCTGGCACAGCTCCAGGTCGTACCTGGCAGAGTTAAACTCATAGTACAGCTGCAAGTAGTGGGGGTCCTTGGAGATCCTCTCCAGCACTGTCTGCATGGAGGCTGCAGAGCCATCAGGGACCTGGAAGGCTTTTGTCAGCCTGTACTCTTCCTCCCAGTCTGGGAACTCTGCTGAGGCCATCGTGTTGGCACGAGTAAGGTTCAAGTAATAAGTCACCATATCCTGAGGGAGAGAAAAACAGAACTGGGGAGACATCAGGACAAGACTGGCCCTGGGTGAGACACTGGGTCAGGCCTGGCCCCCACTCAAGGGCCCAGCTGCCCTCCATGGGGCTTCCTACCCAGATGGGCACCTGGGGACACCTCAGGTGAGACCAAACAGAGCCACTCCAAACAGAGCCTGTTCCCTAAGGGCTGAAAGAAACAGGGTGGCTTTGCTCTGCTTGACTTGGACCTCCAAACATCAGAAGCTTTGAGCCTGGCCTGTTCAGACATCTGTCAGTTACTATCAACACTGCCCAGCAGCAGAAGCAAGGGCTACACAAGTGTTATGAGCAGTTATCTTCTCAACTGTGAACAAACTGAAGAATCAAGTTTTTCACAGCTGTTCTCTTGCCCTTTTTCTCTCTGCTTCACTGACTCCCCAGACTTGCACAGTGTACTTTAGCATTCACTTCTCTGCTATAAACATGTAAACAGAGCAACTATAGAGAACATGAACTATAGAGAGCTTCATCCACTACAAAGGAGAGCATAAGCACCCATCCTCCACCTCTTGGCAAACAAGAGATGGGAAACAGAAGCTGCCCCTACAATTCACCTCAATTCAGAGGGACACAATTTTTGAGATGGTTTAAATGTTTTGGAGGGGGTCTGACAAGTCTGTTCTTACTCAAAGAGTAGTTCTGTGATCCATATTATCTGAGGAGCAAAGGAAGTGTCAAATGGAACTCACTAAGGACATGAACAACACCACAAAAACTGTCTGACCTGCCCGGGGGAACTCACCCCAGCAGGATGCACTGGCTGCCAGGGCCATGCTTTGACTCACTGATGCTCCAACTAAATCTTTGTGCCAGACACAAGGCTGAAATATCCTGGGTCAGAGTCCTCTCCCACTCAGCCACTCAGCCTCTGTGCACTGAGAAATCCTGAAAAGCCTCTTCTGACTACAGGGGGAATTAAAGTTGTTCTGGAGCTGCAGTGTGGTGCACACAGGGGTCCCCTACCAAGACCTGCAGGGTGTCCTGATCATAGTCAATCACACGAATGGCAGGGTTGTTGGCTCCATTGCTCACTCCAGGTAATGTTGTTTTCCAGGGAGTCACTCCAGGGGCCAGGAACATGACATTGATTGGAGCACCTTCACAGAAATGCAAAGCAAGTTGTGATGGAGACCATGGCTTGTCCCACACCCTGTCCCCATCACAGTGAGCACCTGGAGCAGATTGCACTGCTCACAGCACCTTTGTCCCCAGCTCCCTGTACCACCCCACACACAAAGATGAACACATGGAACAACACTGGGGACTGAGCACAGGGCTGCTGCAGCCAGCAATGGGCTCTCCAGTGCTGCCAAAGACTCACAGTGAGGGTGGCCAGGGAACCACACTCTGCAAAGGTGTTCACCCAGAGCACCCCACACACACACACAGAGATTCAACACTGCTCCCTCAGCAATGCCCAAACCCCTCAAGAGAGAACAGGCAAGAAGGGGGAACAGGCATAGAGGGGAAACAACAATATCTGAGGGTGAATAGGAAGGAGGGCAGAGGCTACAGACTGAGAACACTGTTGCCTCTTGTTGCCCAAAGCATGTCAGATGTTTTTCCTGGCTTCTTTTAGTGGCTTTCAGCCAACAGGCACTACAAACTCTCATGGGCAGTGATTCTGAGAGCTGTCAGAGCTGTCACACAGGCACTTGGGTGAGCAGAGCAGGTACCTGTGTGGCTGTAGAACACACGAAAGCTGTCAGTGTGATGGTGCCCAAAGAACTGGGCAGCGATCACCCCGTGGTGCCTCTGCACAATCCCCAGGTAGCGCTCGTTGAAGCCCCTCCGGAACCAGGCCTTGCCCCGTTTCTTCTCAAAGAAGCCAGGGGGGACGTGGCCCACAATGTAAACCTACAGAAACAAGAGCTGCCCTGAGCTCAGAGCCCACACCAGCCATGGAGCACCAGCCAGCTGCAGCTGCACACAGAGGGAGCAGAGCAGGAAGAGCTTCCAGGCTGGGGAGAAGCCCAGGTTGTTGACTCAGTCCTTTAATACCATTTCATCTGCTCTAGAGGCGTTGGTCAGGGTTTCTTCCAGCCACTGGAACTGCCCCCCAGGATCCTCCTCAGCAGCTGTCTCATCATTCTGGTCATAGTAGAGGTTGGTGTTGAGGACAACCATCCGCCCCCTCATCCCTGGGCCAGGCAGCTTCTCACTGTAGAAAGCTCCTTAAAAATGAAACCAACACAGGAGGAGTGGCTGTGATCCCAGATCCCTTTGTTCCCACCTCTCTCTGCTCTCCTTAGCAGCAGCCACAGCAGGGTCACTGCCTGGGACAGTGCCCTGAGCATTCTGGATGTGCACTTGGAGTGACTCCTCCCTGTGTGTCTCTTGCCAGTGAGGGGAGACCTGAATGGGTGCAATGGGCAGCACCAGGAGCTGGGCAGCTCTGGAGAGCCCCAGCACCAGCTCCCACCTTTAAAGATATTTTTCCTCCCTCTGCAGGTCACCACTCTGCATTCTTTCCAGTAACTTGACAATGGAGAGAAGAGACTAAAGTATAAAATAATTTCTTCTCTTGCAAGCAGAGCTCCAAGACAGAAATCAGCATTAAATTAAATAATAAAATAACTACCTCTGCAAAACCTCTATGAATACTGCTTCTCTGAGCATAGAAGCAAGGAAAATTGTTCATGGTATTCTCCTACCCCTCCTCATATCCCCAGCATGCTCTAAACACGTGCCAGACCTGCTCTGAAGAGAGGAAGGGAGGCATCACTCAGCCAGGGCCGCCACAGCTCTGCTGTTTGGTTGTAGATCCTGTGCTCCTTCCCAGGAAACTGATTCTTGGGGTGGAAGTCATGATTGCCCATGGCTGCATAGACCTTGGTACCTGGGGGCAGAGCCAAGGAGGCACAGGGGAGGTCAGGGCTGCAGAGGCTCAGGGAGGGAGGTCAGGGCTGCACAGGCACAGGGCAGGGAGGTCAGGACTGCACAGGCTCAGGGCAGGGAGGTCAGGGCTGCAGAGGCACACAGGAGGGAGGTCAGGGCTGCAGGGGCTCAGGGCAGGGAGGTCAGGGCCAAGGAGGCTCAGGGCAGGGAGGTCAGGGCTGCAGAGGCACAGGGAGGGAGGTCAGGGCTGCAGAGGCTCAGGGCAGGGAGGTCAGGGCTGCAGAGGCTCAGGGGGGGAGGTCAGGGCTGCAGAGGCTCAGGGCAGGGAGGTCAGGGCTGCAGAGGCTCAGGGCAGGGAGGTCAGGGCTGCAGGGGCACAGGGCAGGGAGGTCAGGGCTGCAGGGGCTCAGGGCAGGGAGGTCAGGGCTGCAGGGGCCCTCTGAGCTCCCTGAGGCACTCCCAGCCTTGGGAAGAGCTTTGCCAAGGCCAGCCACCCCTCTGCCCAGGGCCACCAGAGGGCTCTGAGCTGCCCTTGGGACAAGGCACCCACAGCCAAGTGACTGAGCTGTCACCAGCAGTAAGGCTCCTTGCCCCCTACAGACACAGGTTCTGTCTGAGGGTGTCCTGCAGCCTTTTCTGCCTTCATTACTAATGACAGAAACCTTTCTTTTTGACAGGAACATGAGTGTACATCAATGCTGTATGGCTCAGCAGAATTGAAGCCATCAAACAAGTCCCTTCTGTGCCCTTCCCCGTCCCCATTCTGCCCTTTCTCCATCCTGGTTAACCCTTCCCATGAGTCTCTATGCCCCTTTCCCCTTCTCATCCCCTCAAATCCTACCTGGAAAAGTCTCTTTTATCAGAGAGGTCAGATTTGCTATTATGTGCAGAACCTTTTCTTCTCCGAGCTGCTCATTGGGGACATGGGGAGTGTCATCTCTACAAAAAGAGAAGCAGCACAGTCACTGTCTGGGACTAACAGGGCCTGTGCTTACAGCACTGAGCAAGGCAGAGAAATTTGCCAACTCCTCTCTGTGCCTGCTAGAAGAGAAAGTTTAAGCTTTTGGGTGCAGAAGTCAGTGCTATGTTGCCTGGCCAAAACACTGAGGGAGTTTCAAGAAATTGCTCACAGGGAAAATGAGATTCACTCCAAACTTGAGTGGGATTGTTGGGGTGTCTGTGCAGGGCCAGGAGTTGGTAATCCATGATCCTTGTGGGTCCCTTCCAGGCTCAGGACACTCTTTGATTCCAGGATTCACTTCACCTTAAAACCCCTGTGCACCCTGCTTTGGGGTGTGTCACAGGCACCTGGGAACACTGCAAGGGTCAGCACTTTGCAATCTGAGGGTATCTGATCTGCAATAGCAAAGCAGAGCTGTTTACACAGCTGTGAACCTATGAAACAAGGAAATGCCTCTCTAAGGCAGCAGTCTAAGGCTGCTCCATGTCTGTGTTTGCATTTACATGCTTATGGCATTTGTAGGTGATGCTGAGCTGTCCACAGGAGAGAAAGGAGAACATTCAAAATCATGTCAGAGGACTGGGGAAAATTGCTTGAGGGAAAAAAACTCAACATAAGGTCACAAGCACCAATAACTGCATTTAAGTAGGAACAGGCATCTACAGGGACAGAAAATGAAAACATGGGACAGGCAACAGCCCTGCAAACTGGAACTGGAGGTTACAGCAAGTTGGGGCTGCACTACCAGAAGGATCATATACACAATCACCATGCAAAATAAAGCTTTTACCATCTGTAAGTACTATTGAGCCTCCCGTAGGACAGGGAACACCCCTGGAAACCACACCAGGAGAGAACATCCTCCACTGGGGAGGCTTCTCTGACTCCTAAAGCAGGACTGTCCCTTCCTGAGCCAGGTCTCCAGGTGCCTCATCACAGCCACAACTGCTGCAAGCTGGTTTACAGTGCTCTGTTCCCACTGCTCTGACCGGCAGGGCTGGATGCACGGACACACAGCCCACAGCTCCTTCCCCTGGGCATTCCAGGTACTCGGACTCACTGTGGGATCACACAGAAGGCACAGAGGATGGACAGTGAGTCGTGATCCTTTTGTCACCTCGCTCCACAAGCGTCTTGCCAGTGTCAAGCGCCCTCGCTGGGGCTGTGCTTTCGTCCAAACCCGTTTTGCATTACAAGGCACATTCTGGCCTCTCCTTCCCAAAGCCCATGGAAAGAGCCCTGCCACACACACCAGAGCCCGTAGGGGCTGCATCGCCCTTGTCCCGCCCAGCCCCGGTGTCCCTCAGGCGGGCCCGGCCCCTCTCACCCGGTCCAGAGCACGAAGTCAGGCGCGGCCAGGCGGGCCCGCATGGCCTGAGCGGCCGAGCGGAGCAGGGTCCAGGGCGAATCGCACACGTAGCTGCCCCAGGGTCCGGCGGGCTCAGCCCGACCGCCGCCCGAGGGGCACGGCCGGCCCGCTGCCGCCGCCGCCTCGTACCCGGGGTCCCAGTGCAGGTCCGTGAGGTGCCAGAACCGCCCGGAGCCGCCGCTCGCACCGGGCAGAGGCACGGCCAGCAGGCACAGCCAGAGCAACACCACGAGCCGGCCCGGGGGCAGCATGGCTGAGACAGCCGCCCTCACCTCTGCTCGGCCCTCACCTGTGCTCGGCCCCGCCCCTGGACCCCGCCCCCTCATGAATGCCAGGCCTGGCAGCGCCCGCTCTCAAAATGGCGACGGCGGCTTCCCCGCGGCCTCCTCCTATAGGATAGAGCTGGAAGGCGGAGGGACGCGATTGGCTGCCGGCCGGCAAAGCGGCCCTTGTGCTGCATGGCAAACACCACCCACCTCACCTGGGCCCGGCCCTCACCTGTGTTCGGCCCCGCCCCTGGGCCCCGCCCCTTCATCTATGCCAGGCCGGGCAGTGCCCGCTCTCAAAATGGTGGTGGCAGCTTCCCCTCAGCCTCCTCCTATTGGACTGAGCCGGAAGGCGGAGGGACGCGATTGGCTGCGGGCCGGCAGAGCGGCGCTCCCGGATTGGGCGGCAGGCAGCGGCGCGCGGGCCGGCGGGCGGCGGCAGTCCCGGAGCGGCGCCATGTGGAGCGGGCACGGTGCGCGGGGCCGGGGGCCGCGGGGCCCGGGGGGGCCGCTCACCCGGGATGGCGGCAGTGCTGGGGAAGGGGGCTGTGTCCCTGCCACCGCGTCACGGTCCCTCTCTCTCCCCCCTTAGGGAACTTCGATGGCGGGTACGGCAGCATGGGCGGCGCGGGGCTCCCGGGCGGCTACACGCAGTCCCCGGGCGGGTTCGGGTCGCCCGCCGGCGGCCAGGCGGAGAAGAAGCAGGTAGGCCGGGCGGGGGCCGCGGGACGGGCCCGGGGCCGGGCCTGGGTCCGGCTCTGACGGCCCCTCCGGCCCTCGCAGCGGAGCCGCTCGCAGAACATCGTGCCCTGCACCGTGTCGCAGCTGCTGGCGGCCGAGCAGGTCGACGAGACCTTCCGCATCTGCGACGTGGAGATCTCGCAGGTGAGCACCGGGACGGCCCCTTGGGGCATACCCGGGGCCGGCCCGAGTGTGACCCTTCCTCCTCCGCCGCAGGTCACCCTGGTGGGCATCGTGCGGCACGCCGAGAAGGCGCCCACCAACATCCTCTACAAGGTGGACGACATGACAGCAGCCCCCATGGACGTCAGGCAGTGGGTTGATACTGATGTAAGCACTGGATTTGCTATCAGCAGGCTTCTTTAGCGGCTTTGGGGAGCAGCGGGTGGAGAAAAGCTTTTTCTTTTTCTCCTCACTTTGGGGAAAGGTGGTGGAGAATTATACAGTGTTTGGACTGGAAGGAACCTGTAACCAACTCCCTACTTCCCACAGAGCTTTTTAAATCCAGAAGGTGTTGCTTTTCTGGAAAGTATTTTAGGGATAGCATGTCCCTGAAATCCAAAGGAGATGCTGCTGTAGCAGAGGTCACTGGTGGTGTATATGACTGTCTGCCTGTTTAGTATAGCTGAGTTCACCTGAACAGGGAGGGTAATCAGGCAGGAAGTTCAGCTGCCTTACTGCAAGTTTAGCATGACGTAGGAATGCACAGTGTTTGTGCTTGCTGGAGATGAGCCTGCTGTGCTAAGTTCCTTATTGTCACAATTGAGAAATGGAAACAGGAAACAGCAAACTTGTTTTTCCCTCTCTGTTAGGAGGCAGGAGGTGAGAATGTTGTGGTACCTCCAGGAACTTATGTTAAAGTAGCTGGTCACCTTCGGTCCTTCCAGGTAAGGTAAGGGTACCTGGGTGTGAGTCTTGTAGGACTTGTAGCACTTCACGTAGCAGGTGTGGTGTAAATACTCAAATAATGGTTGTCTGTGCATGAAGGCAAGGTACAGTTAATCCCCAGCTGGTTAGAGGAGTGACTTTGTCTCTGTTGTCTTTCAAAATCACATCCCTCCCCCACTGCTTGCTTGCTCCCAGTGGGATGGGGGAATCAGAAGGGTCGAAGCAAAAAAACCCCATGAGTTCAGATAAAAGCAGTTTAATAAGTTAAGCAAAACAAGGAATTCATTCCACACTTCCCATGGACAGGAAGGTGTGCCTCTTCCTCCTTCTCTCACCAGTTTTATAACTGAGCATTACACTGGCTGGTCTGGGTTCTCCTGTGGGGCATGGGGGTCCCAGCTGTTTCCCCTCACAGCTCCTTGTCCCCTCCCAGTTTAATACTGGTGGAGCTGTGTGAGAAAGGAGGAAAGCCCTTGGCTCTGTGCAAGGGTTGGTAAGCAATGACTAAAACATCCCTGTGTTACCAACACTGTTTCCAGCACAAGTCCAAAACCAGCCCATGCTACTGTACCCCAGCCAAAAGCAGCACAAGATGTAGGTCAGAAGGTTTTGGATGAGCTGCATGCAGAGAAGTTCTCTCCCCACTGCTGTCCCACACTCTTGGAGGAAATGGCTGGGTTGGCTGTTAGGCATCTTCATGTTCCTGTGCTGTAAATTGTTTTCTTTGTTTTGTGTTTGGCTTTTTTTTTCCCTCTGAAAGAATAAGAAGAGCTTGGTAGCATTTAAGATCATGCCTCTGGAAAATATGAATGAGTTCACCACACACATACTGGAAATTGTCAATGCACACATGATCCTCAGAAAAAATCTCATGGTATGTACAAAGACCCTGATTCCATTGTGGCCTTTCCTGGGTGACTGGTGATCTCCCAAAGAGGCACCTCTCGCTGGGAAAATTCCCTCATTGTGGGGCTGGAGAGTTTAAAGCTGGGCAACACTGAAGGTGTAACAGGAGTCCTGGCTTCCTTGGAGAGAGATTGTATTGCAATCCACTTCCATGAGAAGCTATTTTTATACACTGGCTTAGAAATAACAGTGAGTCTTTAACTCTGCAGGCTTGGGCAGCCTGGCTAACCACAGCATTTCTATTCTCCCAATTCCAGTCAGCATCAAGAGTGCCACAGTCATTTCCCTCCACTGGGATCAGTGACATGGGGGGCTATGGAGGAGGTGGCAGCCTGCCAGTGAACGGGCTCACGGCGTACCAGAGCCAGGTGGGTGCCAGCAGCTCTTCTGGGAGCACAGCAGAGGCACCAGAGCTCCTCTGATGTCATCTGCTGGGGTTCTTGCTCATCCAGGTGCTGAACTTGATCAAAAGCTGCCACGTCCCAGAGGGGATGAGTCTACAAGACTTGAAGCTCCAGCTCCACGGTTTGAGTATGTCAACGATCAAGTAAGTGTGTGTAGAAATGCAGGATGCTATGGGAATCCAGGCAGTCCTTCCAGAGGCAGACAGGACAGTGGACAAGCCCTGACTCTCACCTGTGAATCAGGGTGGGTGATTCAGGTGGTCCCAGCAGCACAGGAGCCAGAGCTTTTGAAGATTCACTGCCCTGAGTGAGCTGTTGCCAGTTGCTCTGCTCCTTGTTTTCAAAACAAGCTGTTTGTGTACTGCAGTCCCTCAGTAGCATTTCTCCTGCTCAAAGACTACCTTGCTCTCTGCACACTGATAAAAATCTAGGAATAGTCTCTTCTCTTCTACTCCACTGTCTCTTGCAACATCTTCTTGAGGGGTACCAAAGTTGTCATTACCTTCCACGACCTTTTTATGTTCTGTCCCCTCTGGAGCAGGGGACAGAACAGTTCCCCTGTTCAGTACCTGCCCTCTGGTAGGTACTCCCTAGGAAGTGCAGAGTGGTGACTCAAGCAGAGTCTGAGCTTCAGGGGGAGCACATTGCCATAGCTTTGGAGAAACTTCTGTCACTTACACTGCCCATGGGACAGAGACACCAAGAGCTTCCCTGGGCAGCTGCCAGGAGGGAACTGTGGGGATGGGGTCTGTAAATGAGAATCACCTGGCAGAAAGGTGATCACTTACCTCCCTTTGCTAACTAATTGCTAATTAGTTACCAGCTATGGGGTTTTTCTTCAAGGCAAGCTGTGGAGTTCCTCAGCAGCGAGGGACACATCTACTCCACGGTGGATGATGATCACTACAAGTCAACAGATGCTGAGTAAAGTTCCTTCCATCTGATTTTAGTTCCAAGCAAATGTTTGTCCATATTTCAAGATACCTTGCTGAGCTCTGTTACATGGAAGGTGACCTTTGCTCTTTGTGGGAAGTCCTGGTTACTGGGTGAATGCCAACTCCTTGGAATTCAAGGATGAGCAGGACATGTGTGATTGTGGTAATTGGACCTGATTCTATGCTGTGACCATGTGACTGAAAGCATAAACAGGCATGGGAAAACTGAACTCCTCAAAGCTTCAGAGCTTTCACTTTGTTTTTGCTCCTTAGAGAGTCCCTGTTAGAAAGAAGAGCCTCTTTATGATTTGTCCCTTATTTCTAGAGCTGTTTCTCCTAACTCAGCTTCCATTCCATTTTCTTCATAAAGTGGGTAGCCAAGAGTAATCTTCCACTGATGTACAGCAATCATGAGAAGATGTTTTTAGTTTTTCGTTTGTGCATTTAAATCTATATTTGTACTAGAGCTGATCTTGTTAACTAGAGCTTTTGAACTTTTCCAATAAAATGTTAACTTGGGGCACCTTGCCATCGTGTATGACTCTAGAGGCTTCTCTGCCTTGAAGAAGAAAACTGCTTGACAAAACCTGGGGCTCAAAGCACAGCTCATACTTTCAGTTTAACTATTGTTATTTTTTTCCTTAGCTTTTTACTTTTGAAGGTGCAAACTGAAGTGAATATCGGGCCAGTAAGAAATTAAATATTTGTACTACTGAGGAAAACAACATGTATCAGTGTTCCAAATAGGGCCAGAACCAATTCTGCCACCAGAACAGCTGCTCTGCTGTGCAGTTGCTAAATGCCCAGGGACATGGAGCCTGCTGGAAGAGCAGTGTGTGCACACAGGGCACAGTTCAGAGGGCTCTCAGTTCGGTGAGCTCTGGGTGTTCAGAAGCTCCAAGGGTACGATAGAGTTTCTGTTGCCGAGGTCTCATAAAGGCACCTGGCTTTGCAAAGGTGGTTCCTTGTTGGCTCATCCACGGGGCTGGCAGGGACACCCAGGGCCTCTGCTCTGCTCTGCCAGGAGTTGCTGCTGGGGCCCATCCCAGTGTCCTGCTTGGGTTCAGTGGTGCCTCTGCAGCCCCTGGTGCAGCTCTGTGGCTGAATCATGCAGCAGGTGAGCGCTTGGCTACAGCGTTCAGCATACCTAGAAGCCAAAAGTACTGTAATTTCCTTTTCGTAGGAGGTGTGCCGGTTAGGAAGAACATCCCTGAGGGTTTTTGGAAGTGAAGATTAGTGGAATTGCTTGCAGTCAGGAGAGCGATTGTGCAATTGGATAAATGGCTGGGGACAGGACTGCGACGGCAGCGGGAGCGGAGCCGGGGCTGCCGGCCCGGAGTGGTCACACAACCCGGGGGGGGACACACAGGGCCCGGGGCTGCCGGTCCGGGTGGAGCTGGCCGGGGTGGGACACACGGCCCGGGGCTGCCGGTCCGGGTGGAGCTGGCCGGGGTGGGACACACGGCCCGGGGCTGCCGATCCGGGGCGTTCCCACAGCTCGGGGCAGAGCTGCCGAAATGGGGCGGTCCCGCTGCCCGGGGCGGGCCCTGTCGGGGGTGGGTCCGGCCGGTGCCGGCGCCGCCACCGCCGGTTTCGGGCCGGGCCGCGGGGCCCCGATGTCTCCGCGAACAGCCCCGCCGCGCTTCGGGCCGCTGCAGTTGGCGCTGGCGGCGGCGGGGACGGCGGCGGCCACCCTGGACCTGTTCATGGACGGCTGGGTGGCGGCGCAGTACGCGCGGCGCGGCCACCCCGGCTGGGCCGCGCTGTCGCTGGCGGTGCTCGCCGCCGCCTCAGCCGCCGCCCAGGCCTGCAGCTGGCTCTGGCTGCGCTCCGACCCGCCCGCCCTGCGCCCCGCCGTGCCCGTGCTGCTGCTCGCCGCCCTGCACCTCCTACAGCTCGGCTTCTTCTTCAGGTACGGCAGCCCCGCACCGAGTTCACCGAGTTTCCCGCCCGCCGCCCGTCCGCGCTCCGCCCCGGCCCTTCCCGGGATGGGGGCGAGCGGTGCCTCGGCTGTCGGCAGGGCCAGGAGGCTCCAGCACAGAGCGGTTCGGCCCAGCCCGGGCCGGAGCCGGATGAAGAGAGTGGTGGGAGCGAGGGAAGTTTCCCTCGGGCTCTGCTCTGTGTCCCGGGGCTGCTGCCGCTGCCCTCCGGACAAACGGAGCAGCGCCCCGAAACCTCCTCATGGCCTCGGGGCTCCCCCGGCACTTGAGGGGAGCAGCGAGGCCGAGCCGGGAGAAGGGAATAATCCAGGGAGATCGATGCTCAGTTTTTTATACTTGCATCGTGTGGCTGCTGTGGTGTGTGGTTTGGGCAGGGGGAAGGAGTGGTTTGGACACAAATCAGTGGGGTTTGATGTCCTGTCAGGAGTTTGCTGAGCTGTCAGGGAGCGTGGGGACCAAGGTGTGCCTTGCATGGCCCCTCACCACCAGCTGGTCCCACACAGGTGTCTCTATGCTCTGAAGGTGGGCTGGAGGGTGTGCTGGGCCAAGGCAGAGGAGGAGGATGAGCGGAGACACATGGCCTTCATCTCCCACGACATCAGCATGCTGCGTCTCTTCGAGACCTTCCTGGAGAACACCCCGCAGCTCACCCTGCTCCTCTACATTATCCTGCGGACAAACAAGGCTGAGCTCTCCCAGGGTGAGCGACTGGGGCCAAGGGAGGGAGATATCAGAGAGGCTGTCCAGGGGCTGAAGGACCCAGCAAGCCCCTTGTGTCATTCTGTTCCCGTGTCACTCCTTCCTTTGACATGTCACGCTATAGGGTGGACCCCTGTCCTGCACTCACGTGCCCCAATGGACCATGCTGGGCTTGGGGTGGGGGGTTGAAGCTGTGGGACCACTGTGGTCATTCTCTTATGTGCCCCGGGAGAGGCTGAGGGTGAGGTGAGGGATCAGGCACCTTCTGGGGAGTAGGGAGGTGCTGATGTTGGTATGGGTGAAGCACGCACGGAGCAGGGGCTGTGGTGCCCTTCCCAGGGTGGGGAGCAGGTATCACTGCAGGGAAATGGGGAGCCCAGCAACGTGGGAGCCAGCACTCACCTGCCTGTGTGGGCTGAGGGCTTCCATGCCTGGGAGAAGGGTTCTGCAGTGCTGTTCAATCCCAGCACTTCTTCCTCATCTTCTGAGCAAGGCCAGGCACCAGCCTCCTTGTCCTCAGGGAGGGCAGAATGCCAGGGGAGAGATGCAGGTGCTGATGCTCTGACCCTGACAGCAGCTGCTTTGTGAGCTGGGGGAAAACTCATTTTAGCAGTGGTGGGCAGGGAGAGGTTTGAGCCAGGCTGGGCCACCCCTTGGTCCCCCCTCAGCATTTTCACTGTGGTGGTGTTCACAGGGGTCCTGGGAAGAGCTGAGAACCTTGACTCCATGTTTCAGAAGGCTGATTTATTATTTTATGATATATATTATATTAAAAGAAAATTATATACTAAAACTATACTAAAAGAATAGAAGAAAGGATTTCATCAGAAGGCTAGCAAGGAATAGAAAGGAATGAAATGATAATAAAATCTTGTGACTGACCAGAGAGTCCAAGACAGCTGAATTTTGATTGGTCCTTAATTAAAAACAACCACATGAGACCAATCAAAGATGCAGCTGTTGCATTCCACAGCAGCAGATAATTATTGTTTACATTTCTTTTCTGAGGTCTCTCAGCTTCTCAGGAGAAAAGATCCGAGCAAAGGATTTTTCAGAAAATATGCCTGTGACATTTTCACCTGTGTGTTTGCAGGCCTGGGCATGGGCACGGCGTTCCTGTGTGTGTCCTGGTCTCTGCTGGATTACCACCAGTCCCTGCGCTCCTTCCTGCAGGACAAGTACGAGCTGAGCCTGGGCTCCTCCATCGTTTACTTCCTCTGGAACCTCTTCCTCATCTGCCCCCGCATCCTGGCGCTGGCGCTCTTCGCGCTGCTCTGGCCCTACGGCGTGGCTGTCCACTTCTCCCTGGTGTGGCTGGCCCTGTTCCTCTGGGTCAGCCTGCAGGGCACAGACTTCATGGAGTCACCCGGCCCCGAGCAGCTTTACCGGGCCATGGTGGCCGTGATCCTGTACTTCAGCTGGTTCAATGTGGCGCGGGGGAGGACGCTGCACCGCAGCATCATCTACCACGGCTTCATGCTGGTGGACAGCACCCTGCTGGGCCTGGCCTGGCTCTGGGGCCGGGCTCCCGGGGAGGAGGAGCACTCATACCTCATCCCCGTGCTCTCTGCAGCCCTGCCCTGCTACCTGCTGGGGCTGGGGCTGAGGGTCACCTACTACAAGTGGCTGCACCCCAACGTGCTGGTGCAGCAGGAAGGCAAATACGACGAGGTGGATGCCACTGGAGGCGGTGATGGGGTGGAGTTTCGCTCGTTTTTGGAACCGGACCTGGTCAACAGGCGGATGCAGTGGCTGGCCCAGACCCACTTCTCCTTGTCCCAGCCAGCACAGGAGCACTTCCAGAATGGGGCTGCTGCTGTGGAGTCTGCTGTCTGAGGGCAGCTCCTCTAAAGGGACATGAGGGGAGAGGTAGACTTCTTGGTGTGCCCCTGGTTGTACCCCCCAGGCTGTTGTTTTGGACAGCTGGAGGGAGCTGGCAGAAACCAGGGGTGCTGTGCAAACACCCAGTGAGTCCCATGGCACTCAGCATGGCTCCCATGGCTGTACCCTCAGGGAAAGCCACAGTGTGGGGAGTCCAGCACATGGCAGCATATGGCTGCACTGCTCTGTCAACTTTTCTTGTTATTTATTTGTAGCTTTTTCAAAAAAGAAAAATGAAAACAAGAGCACTGGTTTATTTTCTCTGTGCCTGCTGCTGCCACTGCTCTGCTGGGATATGGGTGGTGGGGCAGGGAGGATCTGTTTCCTCCATGGTTGTGGCTATCTGACCTTTCTGTTTCCAGCCAGGCTTTTCCTCCTTGCGTTAGTTTAGGTGTTAAGGTCAAAGCTCACCTGTTATCAGTGTGTTCAGGGAGGGATGGGGAGGGAGGCCTGTGCTGGGAGGAGTGGCTGCAGGGTGGCTCAGGGCTTGGACACCTCATTCCATTCCCACCACCACAGCCTGGGCAGGGCTCCCAAGGCCACAGCATTGCTCAGCCATTGGTGGCTGTTGGTGTGGTCAGTGTGGTCAGCAATGGGGTCAGTGTGTGCCAGCTCCTGGGCACAGACACCCAGCACTCCCCAGGTGGGGCTGCCTCCACCCAGCCCCTGCCCTTTGCTGTTGCCCAGCTGGCAGCTGTGGCACATCCTGGCTGCTCACAGCGCTGACCTTTGGCTCCTTCCCCTCACCTCCATCTCATCCCTCCCAGCAGCCCATCCCAGGAGGCAATTCCATACCAGGGAAGGCATCTGGATGCAGCTGGAGGAGCAGCTGAATTGCTGTTTCACAGCTGCTCCTGTGAGCAGCTCAGCCTGCCCAAGGCCAGCAGCACAGGGTAGGAGAGGGGTGTTGCCTTGTGCAAAAGAAAATGGGAAGGGAGTGTTTTGTGCAGGAAAACACCTCAGCAGGGCCCAGGAGCAGGTCCCTGCCCCACTGGCTCCCCAGGATTCCCCAGGATCATGGGGGCTCTGGTGGCTGCACTGTGACCTGTGGCACCCCAAATGCTCCTGGTGCTGCCAGGCCTGGTTTGAGCTGTCACAGGGGCAGAGAACAGGCTGAAGCAGTGACTATAGAAAATAAAGACTTTATTACTTTTTCCAGTTCACAGGACAGTTCCCACTACAGACCATGAACAGGCAAAGGCCCCACAGCCAGCAGCACCTGAGATCACCCCTCATAGCAGAGCAACAGAGGTGCTGTGGGCTCCAGGGGTCCTGCTGCTTCCCACCAGTGCCAGCACAGAATCTCCCCAAGGGCTGTTGGAGGCAACAAGTATTAGTGGATCAGGTGGTTTTTAAAGCCTCTGTGGCTGTGTTGAAGCTGAAGGGGAAGCCAGCAGCACCCAGGTAAGCTCAGGTGCTCTGGGCCTGCAGGCTGACTGTCCTTCAGGTGTTCAGGTTTGCTCTCCCATTACCCCTGACCTGACTGTAGCTGAACTGGTGACAGAGACAGGAGAAAATCAATGCTTGGACAGAGATGCTGTTCTTGCCTCAAAAGAGACAGGAAAAGGCTTAAATTCAGCCAGTAGAAGAAAAAATAAAATAGCCAGGTCACCCCTTTATTAACAAACACAGAAATGTACCATCAACCTCCTGTTATAAAAGTACTTTACATACATTCAAGGAAACATCACATAAATACCAGTATGAAATGTCAGTGGCTGCGAGTTCCACGCTCAGCTAAAATTTTACCAACATCTTAAAATTTCCTTAAAACATTTGAAGTAAACAAACACAAAGCACAGCCAGCTGCCAGGCAGCTCAGGCCTGCAGGTGCAGCACCTGCTGCCAGTGCCTGGGGAAACCCAGCCCCTCTCCAGCACAGCTCTGCTTCCCACGGGAGCAAAGCTCGTGGGCTGCTCGGCCCTGCCGGTGGTGGGAGGTTAAGGCACAGGTTTTAATCCCAAATTCAGCCAGCTGGAGTATGAGATATGCTGCCAACAGGCTGCTGCACAGGCTGGGACAGCTCTGCTTACAGGAGACCTTTGGATGGGCTGAGGGATGTTCAGCATCAGCACAGACTCTTCTGTGACTGAGTCCTGATCCTCTGGTGACATTTCCAGCCCTGGCAGCTGCTCCTCACCACAGCTCTGGCATTTCCCAGGGGCCCAGAGGAACTGGACTCTATGGGCCCAGCAGTAGGGGAGCTGGAGCTGCCTCAGGTGCCTTGAACAGGTGCAGACAGAGAACAGCCCTGGGTGCTGCTCCCCTTTCCAAACCCACTGCTGAGCACTCCCAGCACAGCCTATTTGCTCCCTGGGCTCCCTGTTTGTTCCTCACCCTCTGCTGAGCTGCCCAGTGACACCCACAGCAGACTCCTCAGACTTTGCTCCTGGATGAGCAGCTCCCACACAGACAACATGTTCCTGCTGCAGAGCTCCTGGGGAAATACACAGACCCAGTATCCACCTGGGATGCCAACACCTGGCCAGGAGCTGAATGGAAAGCAGATCACTCCTGACTCCAGTGACCACCCTGGAGAAAGAGAATCGCCTTTGATTCCAATTTAATTGATCTAAAAAACCCAAAAACAAACCCAAAGGGAAAGTGGAGCTGGTACCATGTGAAATAAAGCTCCCAGGTGCAGTCCCTGAGCACGAGGTATCCAAACTCCTGGCTCTAGGCACCTTCTGCCCCTTGGTCACTGGAGCTGGCCCAGGATGCTCCCAGGGCACAGCAGAGTCTGTGCAGAGCTGGCCCAGCAGCTCCCCCTGCACTGATGGAAATGAACCCTCAGTAATTAAAGCCATGAAAGGAATGCAGCAAACACACCCTGCCTGTAAGGGCACAGCAAAGGGGTCAGTGTCCTCCCTGCAGTGCCAGACTTTCAGCCCTGTCTGATCAGCCAGTGGCTGATGTGGGGCTGATGACCATGATCTGGAGGGGTCACAGGTCTGGCTCTGCAGGAGCAGCAGCAGCAGCAGGTTCTGGGCACAGCACACTCCTGTCCTCAGGGCTGCTCTGGTGCCATCAGGGTACATGGGGGAGACCCCCAAACACAGCCTGAGTTGGCACAAAAGCAGCCCCTGTGCCAGCCCCAGTCCTTGCTGGCTGTTCTGGCCAGGGCAGCTGCAGGTCACTGACTCCAGCCTCTGTTCTGAGACAGTTGCAGAAAAACCAGCATCACCATCCCTCCCAAGTGCTCCATGCTGCCAAGTCACAGTGTCTTAGAAAATTAAGTCCCTCTTAACAAGGCATTTGTTTGTCACTATGTAGTTAGGCTAATGCAAAGAATATAAGAAAATTGAATCTGATTCTACTAAAAGGAACTTACAAATAGGATCAGGAACACAGAGGTGAAGGTTATACCATAGCCAGAGTCTTCTCTGCAACATTCATGAGGATTTAGGAATTAGATTATTCCTAGTCCAGGTGAGGACCCAGTTCACATCTGAGCAGTCTGCACCAGTCTGCTGTAGCTGATGTTCACAGGCAATTTCATTTTTCTTTGCATGGAAAGTCTGTGGGATCTACAGTCCAAAGGCTGAAATCCAGTGATCTCCTGCTGGCTAAAAGGGCTTCTGCACACATGGACTAGAAGCCACTGGGATCAATTCAGAACACCAATACTTGCCTCTACAAGGAACCACATATTCCAGAAGCATTCCCTTACCTTTATATTTTCCAGTAATCCCACACTGAGGAAATAACATAAGGACATTGTAATAAATTAACTGTTTTGAACACCCAGGGAAGGAGAGAGGACACATTTTACAGCAATAGAGGTATTTTTGACATTTTCATTAATATTTCCTATGAAAAAAAAACCCATAGCTCTTCGGCTTTGCAAAACAAGGGAGGTTTAAGCTCTGCCATCAGCGTTTTCCTATAAAAATAAATTTTTGTGTTTACTTGGGTTCTACAACTAAGCTGAATAGAAAGAAGAAGGCTCTTACACATAAATCTGCTGTTTGATGGCCCCTCCCTCTGGAGGCCAGAGGCATTCAGCTGGCTCTGTAAGTCCCTTCTGCAGACAAGCTCGAGCTCTGCTGAGTCCAGGGCTTCTTCACAGGACACCTTGGACTTGGCAGGGCCGCTGCTCCCAAGGAACACCTGCTGTCATATTCCACTGTACAGTTTGCATTAGGTATGTTTTCTTCATCAAGCTGAAAGGTGAGTCCCCAAACACATGAGATTTCTGTCCCCCCAGAAATGGAGAGGGCTGGCGGGAGCTGCAGGCACGTCTTTGCTCCAGCTTCTTACAGGAAGTCCAACTCGAGGGCTTGGTGAAGGGACACGAGGTCAGCGTGATTTGTGATCCTCCAGAATGGCATGTTGTGCTGTAAGGAGAGAGGACAGCCAGGTTTATGCAGGGATTCCCAGCTGAGCTGGAAGCAGGCTGGGTGGAGCTGCAGGGCTGTGCAGTGTGGTGGCTCTGAGCTCACCTCTCTCAGGACAGGCCTCAGCCGTGTGCACATCTGTATCTGGAGCCCATCTTATGTGCACAGCTGTGTGTGACAGGCACCAGCACTGACTGTCAGCTGCTCACAATGGAAACCTTGGCTGGGAGCTGCTGCTGCAGCCAGGAATGCCTGTCCAGGGCTGACAGCTCTGGCACATGTGTGTGAAGCCTGCAGAGTCAAGGTCCTGACAGTCATCTTTGCACTTCACTACTAATGAGCACAACTGAACAACTCATCCAGGCCTGTCCAAACTGATCAATCTCTCTGCTCCTTGTTTGTAATCAGCCTAATGGCAGGTGCTGCATTGACCTGCTGCTGTTCCTGAGCCCTGACTCCTCCAAGCTCCTGAGAAACTGCAATATCCTGATAGCCACAGGCTGTGATCAGCATACAGAACCACAGAATCATCAAGGGTGGAAGGGACATCCAAGATTGTCACCATGGTATTTTCTGAAAAATCCTCTTAACCCAGGATTTTCTCCTGGGAAGCTGAGAGGCCTCAGAAAAGAATGAAAACAATAATTATCTGATTGCTTGGGAATGTGGTCTGGAGATCATTTAGGTGCATCTTTGATTGGTTCCATGTGAATTGTTTTTAATTAATGACCAATCACCATCAGCTGTGTCAGACTCTGAGGAGTCAGTCACGAGCTTTCACGATCATTCTTGTTAAGCCTTCTGATGTATCCCTCCTCTTTCTTTAGTATAGTTCTAGGATATAATTTCATAATATATGACATGATAACTGTGATGTGATATGATGTGATATGATGTGATATGATATATCAGCCTTCTGAGAAA